TCTGCTCCCCACTCTGTCCCTGGTGAATCCTCTCACCCTCCGCATCTCTGGCCTGTACCCCAGTTCTGTATGAGTAAATAAATAAATCTTTAAAATATATATATATTCATTATATTATATCATCCTTCATTTTTGTACAATGAATGATTTCCCATCACCAATTCCCCCGTGTACCATCACCATAGTCCTTTGTGTTCTTCCTACTCCAGTCCTACTCATTCCCCTTCATCCTCCCCTATAGAAGGTCTCTGATCTATAGTTGTCTGATAATTTTGATTATTACTTTATTATAGTTACTTTTTTTTCCTTTCTGATTCCTTTTTTGTTTTCTGTACATCCCTCCTATAAGTGAGACCGACCATTTGATATTTTTCTTTTTCTTTGTGGCTATTTTGCTAGCATAATCCCTTCCAGCTCCATCCATGTTGCTGTGAAGGGCATGAGGCTATCCTTTTTGATTGCTGAGTAATATTCCACTTTGTAAATATACTGTATCTTCTTGATCCAGTCATCTGTTTTTGGGGCATCTGGGTTGTTTCCACAGCTTACCTATTAGAAATTGTGCTGCAGTGAACATAGGGGTGTCAGTGTCCTTTTGAATTAATGTTTTTGTGTCCTTTGGGAAGATTCCTATGAGTGGAATTGTTGCATCATATGGAAGCTCGATTTTTGTAGTTTGAAAACCTCCACACAGCTTTCCATAGTGGTTGAACCAGTTTGCATTCCCACCAGCAGTGTAGGAGTTCCTTTTTGTCCACATCCTTGTTTTTTTTGGGCTTCTCTTTTATTTTTTTTTTTTAAAGATTTATTTATTTATTCATACAGAACTGGGGTACAGGTCAGAGATGCGGAGGGTGAGAGGATCCACCAGAGACAGTGGGGAGCAGAACAGGCAGATCGACAAAGTACACTGCTGAGGGGAGCAGCGGGCGGGTCAGGAGAGGTCTGCCACGCCATGTGGTCACCTCCGGGGCAGGCGGGGATCGAACTCATGCGGAAGTGGCTTTGACTTCTTAGTGTTGTGCTTTAACCCGGTGCGCCACCAGGGAGGGCCTTCTCTTTTATTTTTAAAGATGCGTGGCTGTGGATCTTTTTCTCTGCTCATTCTATATACTTCCTCCCGATTGTCACATCCGTATTTTACTTACTGGATACTTAAGGATTTCAAATTCAACTTTATCTGCATTTATCTGCTGTCTTCTAAAACGCTTTCTCCTTCTGTTGCCTGTGGAATAGGTGCCATTATTCATACAGTTGTCTGTCAGAATTGCTTAGCCCTTTTTCCCTAGTCTAATAAAAAGAATCACCAAATTCTAGAAATCCTTGTCTTATGAAATTTTCATCATTTTTCCTCACCATGCTTTAACTAATCCCCATCATTTTTTTTTATTTTTTAGTTTTTATTACAAAGTTTATTTTTACATCATTTTGCGCATTTTTTTTTTCCATCTCGATTGTAATCCCCGCGGGTTTCCCATCACCAAATCACCCCTGTGCCACCACCATAGTCCCGTGCGTTTTCCTCCCTTCCCCCCCCGTTTTTGATCCCATTCCCCACTCCACCCCCACAGAATATCTCTGGTATATGGTTGTTCATTATTTTTGTTATTTTCTCGCATGGTCCATTATACTCCTGCTATGAGTGAAACCATCCAGTATTTTTCTTTCTCTTTCTGGCTTATCTCACTAAGCATGATCTTTTCCAGCTCCATCCAAGTTGCTGCAAAAGACATGTGTTTCTCTTTTTTGGTTGCTGAGTAATATTCCATTGTATATATGTACCACATCTTTCTAATCCAGTCATCTACTTTTGGGCATTTGGGCTGCTTCCATGTTTTTCCAATTGTAAATAAAGCAGCAATAAACATGGGGGTACAAGTATCTTTTTCAATCAGTGTTTTTGTGTCTTTTGGATAGATACCTAGGAGTATCCCCATCATTTTTTAAAATCCTCATAATTTTTATTTGAATGACCACCAAGAGTTCTTATACCATTCTGGCTCTAATTTTCCATCTGTTTTCAACAGTGCTTCAAAAATGATTTTTTAAGAGTAAATATTAAGCAGGTTTACTTCCTGCTTAAAACTTAACAAAGATTTTCTTTTGCTCTCAACCTTTTAGCATGGTCCTTGAAGCCCTTCTCTCTCTGACTTTTCTTGGTCATCTAAGCTTTTCCATGACTGCCAGCATAGGATTTAAAATTGTTCGGGGCCCTCCCCGGTGGTGCAGCGGGTTAAAGTGCAGCACCATGAAGCTCGCTGTAACCATTTCAGCACAAGTTTGATCCCCAGCCAGGAAGGTGATCCACATGGTGCAGCAGACCTCTCCTGACCCACCCGCTGCTCCCCTCAGCAGTGTAGATCTTCCTGTTCTGCTCTCTGCTCTGCCTTTGGTGAATCTTCTCACCCACTGGCACTTCTGGCCTGTACTCCAATTCTGTATGCATAAATAAATCTTAAAAAAAATAAATTGTTCACAATGAAAAACCTTTCTTGATTTTGTAAGCCATAGTGGAAAGGTAAAGCCTGTATTTTGCTCATCAGAGAGCCCCTCATGGTCTCTGGAAACCTTTTACTGTTTTTGTTAGCTTGCTTAGTTAGATTTTATATAGAGGTTGGCAAACTTTCTGTAAGGGGACAAATGGTAAGTACTTTAGGCTTTGCAGGCCATATATATATATATGTTTCATCTTTTTCATTTTTAATTTTTATAACTTTTAAAAACATACCGTTCTTAGCTTGAAAAGTGAACACATTTGTGGATCACATTCATGGTTGGGTAGCCAGGTGGCCTAAGCTGTTAAATTCAGAAGTATTTTTCTTCTGCTTTTAGGCTGTTATCAAAGAACAGCTTCAGGAGACTCAGGGGTTGTGTGAATATGCTATCTATGTCCAAGGTAAGACATATTTCTTCTCTTCTTGCTAAAGACATACACGCTTTGCCTGGATTGTAGAAAAGTGCAAACAACTGATAAGATACTTAAGTTCAAGTACTGTTCCCAAATGTTTTATTTATCATCATTATTATTATTTTGTTTTGAAATCAGAGTAATTCTTGTGCCTGATTTGACCTCAGAAATGAAATTCTGTTAATAATGTTGCTATTGTCCTTAACCTCTTTTCCAGTTTCTGGCTAGTGTTTCTCAGAATGGATTAGGGTCCCTGCCTCATACATTAATTTCTGGTTCATAAGAGGCTCTTGAAAATGTTTCTTGACAAGCTTAGATGTGAGGGAAGGTTTGAGGACTTTGGTAATGTGAGTTGGACTGAAGGGGAGAAAGCTAGAGGTATACATGATAAAGCTGAAAATAAATAAAATTCATCAGAAACCAAATATAGGAAAAAGCTAACCGAAATTTTCTCTTAATGCCTAAAGTAGCATCCTTAGTTTTTCTAGGGACTTTCTTTTTGATTGTGGTATAAATGGCTTTGCTTACCACACTTTGTGTTTGTAATCTTCATATTAACATATAATTTTCTGACATAATTGGTAAGGTATTGACACATCTAAAATATTATTCTTTTATTCCCTTTATCACATGTCAAGAGTTTCAGTGCTTCTTTTTAAGATTTATTTATGTATGCATATAAGAACTGGAGTACAGGCCAGAAATTCAGGGGGTGAGAGGGTTTACTAGAGACAGGAGGGAGCAGAACAGAGAAATGGACTGAAATACACTGCTGAGGAGAGCAGTAGGTGAGACAGGAGAGGTCAGTCATGCTGGATCAGCTCCCTGTGGGTCAGCTCCCCGGCTGGGGATTGAACTCATGATGCAGTGGCTTCAGAGAGCTTCATAGTGTGGTGTTTTAACCCTCTGCACTGCCAGGAATGGCCCTGTAATCATGTAGTTTCTTCTGAAAATTTAGTCCTAGGAAAAATGATTGGCTGCTATATTGAAAACCAAGTCTGAAATGTTATTATGCTCTTTGCCAGAATTTTCTTACTTGACTTGTAGTTTGATTCCACTTGCATTATTTTGGGTGAATGCTCTAAAAAATCATCAGGTTAAAGTTCTGAAAAAGAGAACATCTGATAGGAACACCCAAGAATGTCTTCACTGTAAATCTGTGGGATAATTTGCAGGACCTCTGATTCCCTGTGATAGATGCTGTCAGTAGAAGAGTAAGATGGTTTGAGAGTTCTTATTTTAAATGATTTTGGCTGGTCACCCACTTTACTACTTGTTCCAGTCCTTCTGAGATCTTCTGGTTATAGCAAAGACATAGTTATCCAGAGGATTTCTTTGATAGGATTTACCTCTTCTCCATTTTTTTCTGAACCCAAGCTCTTTCCTAGAAAATGGTTTAAGTTTATGTTCTCTATTTTTTGGCAGCACTGATATTTCGCCTGGAAGGAAATATCCAGGAATCCCTAGAACTCTTTCAGACATGTGCTGTTCTCAGCCCTCAGAGTGCCGATAACCTCAAGCAGGTGGCCAGATCTCTGTGAGTATTGGTAGCCAGGAGGTCCCAGGGCACACACACAACTGAAGTGCATTTGCAGGCTGAGACTGTTTCTGTGAGCAGGGCAGCCAGATTCATAGAAAGCTAATGAATAGGTAAAATGGGATTCCCTTTGGAGAGTATGGATTAACTCTGAAATTTGAGAAAATGAGATAACTGGTGTAAAGGAACGGGGGTGTTTTAAACTTTGAATGGGGAACACTGATCATGTTAATCATATAGAGTGACAACTATGCCCTCAGTCTCCTAATATCACTGGCAACACATGGAATTTGTCTCACCTGCTGTTTCAATATTTGGCATAATACTTGACAAATAGAAGGTTTTTAGTGTCTGTTGAGTTGAAATGCCCTGTAGGTTTCTAGATGTAACTAGCTTTCAAAGTCTTTTATTAGGTATGCTTCTTTTCCAGAGTGGTAAAGTGTTTCATAGTGATTCTCATCTCCATTTTCTTACCTACCTTGTCATTCATACCTTTATTGTCTTTGCTTAACTCCAGATTCCCCCAGCTTTCCTGAATCATGATACAGTGTTATGGAAGGAGACAGGCTTGAAAGGGAAGAGCCTGTCCTTAATAGATGATAAGGGTAAATGATGGCAGCTGTTGCTTAACTGGTATATATATATGATTTGGCTTTTTTCCTTTTTTGATCTACACTGTAGTCCATTGCAGAAAATAAATGATGGAAGTCTTTCACTGAAATTAGAGTAGAATTAGATCAAGAAACTGGACATCTTCCAGTGCTGTCCCTGCCAAACGACCTGCTGTGGGGACATAGCCACCTCACTGGCCAAACAGCTTAACTGACTCATAGGATAGGATCTTCCAGAATTCTCTGCTTCCTGGAGTATGAGCCAACTGTAGGATTATTGGGGTTACTGTTTTAAAAACACTGAGCTAATAATTACAGAAATTATATGTGTCTTTTCCTCAGATTTCTTTTGGGAAAACATAAAGCTGCTACTGAAGTATATAATGAAGCAGCTAAACTTAATCAGAAAGATTGGGTAAGTAGGAAACTTGAGTTATTAGTAAACATGCTGTTGATTTATTTATTGTATTGCTATCTTTCATTGTTATTGAATTCTTACATGGCTTAATGTCTTTATTTTCACATTTGATTAATGATTTGGCTAAGGACTGTGGTCAAAAATCATGTTTCCTCATAACTCAGCAGACATGGCTGCCTGGTTTTCTAACAGTCTGTGCTGCTGATAAGCAGTCTGTTACCAGTCTGATGTTTGTTGATAATCCCATTTCCTCTCTAGAACAGTTTTAAGGATTTTCTCTTTATCATTGGAGTTCTGAAATGAGAGGATTCACCAGAGACAGTGGGGAGCAGAACAGGCAGATCTACTGAGATAACATGCTGAGGGGAGCAGTGGGTGAGATAGGAGAAGTCTGCTGCTTCTGGGGTCAGCTTCTGGGCTGGGGGTGGGCTCATGCTTCAGTGGCTGACCATATAGTGATAGTCCTGAGACTTTAAACCCTGATCCACCAGGGACACCTGAGAATTTTTTTTTTTTTTTTGAGGAAGAATTAGATGAGGAAAATGGGACCCTCACATTGGTGATGAAGATCCTAATACAGAACATCAGGTGGAATCAAGTTGTTTCTAGAACTGCAGGAGAAAATAGATTAGCACAGTCCTTTCCTGGCCTTGCCAACCATTTTGTCTCCAGTTAGTGACGTATATGAGAGTATTTTGTGGAATTGGTGCCAACAATTTAATTTGAGTTTCACTGGGTAGAAAAAGAGAGGCTTGTCAGAGGTTTCAGAAACATATGCTTATTGTGAAGATAACCAGAATATTCTGAAACATCACAGGAAGCCAGACTGTACCAATGTTTGAGGAGATGCAAGATGACAACCAAGAGAGAAAGGACTCAGAAAGTTCTAAGATAAGTGAGACAGAATGAAAGTCTAATACAGTTGAAGTGATAACATCAGCTCAGATGCCACTTTGGCATTATGGGTGAGAACTTCTGCAACAACCATGCAATGTAAAGCTGAAAAGTTACATTCTTTCCATTCCTTTTTGCTTCTATCCTCTGGTGTCAGGTAATGTGTGATTCACAGCAGCCCTCCCTTGACAGAGGTCTTGACAATATTTGGATTCACTTGCAGTTCTGTACAGAAATGTCAGGTCTGACATTTCCAAGAAGCCAATTTCTCTTCCTTTTTCTGTCCTGCATTTTCTCATCCCCAGACTTAGAAGATAATATGTTGTGCCCTGAATGAGCTAAAAGGAATAAGAAGACAATGAAAAGATTTTTACAATGGGGAAGGAGAAGCAACTTAGTTTGGTTATTCCTCCTATGTGGACCATGTCTGTTTTTTTAATATTCATTTAGTTATGCATACAAGAACTGGGGTACAGGCCAGAGGTGCTGAGGGGTGAGATGTTTCACTAGAGACAGAGTGGGGAGCAGCAGAACGGCAGGTGGACTGAAATACACTGCTGAGGGGAGTGGGTAAGATAAGAGAGGTGTAACGCACCATTTGGGTCATTTCCCTGGCCGAGGATCGAACTCAAGGTGCAATGGCTGGAGAGCTTCATAGTGCTATGCTTTAATCCCTTGTGCCACCAGGGAAGTCCCTTGGACCATGTCTCTCTTTTTTCAAGATAGATTTATTTATGCATACAGAACTGGGGGCCAGAGGTGCAGGGGTGGTGAGAGGCTTCAACAGAGACAGAGAGAGGAGAAGAACAGGCAGACTGACTGAAATACATTGCTGAGGGGAGCAGCAGGTGAGACAGGAGAGGTCTGCTGCACCATATGGATCACCTCTGTGGCCGGGTATCAAACTCATGCCAAAGCAGGATGGCTAGCTTCTCAGTACTGTGCTTTAATGCGTTGTGCCACCAGGGAGGGCTCCATGGTTGAAATTCTTAAGATGAGAACTCAAAAGAAAGGAATAAAAAACTCGGGGTTGACACTTTCTCTTACGTCACACAAACTAAACTTTCCAAGGGAGAGGGTTTTTATTATACCTATGTTGCAAATTTGCTGAAAATTACAGTAATATATATGAAAACATCTGGCACAGAGCATGGTGTGAAGTCAGTATTCAATCAGTGATTGCTATTTTGTTATTAGAGGGAATTCGGAAAACATAGCATCACTTGTTTCTGAGCCCTGGGGTCCATGTTTCTTCAGACAGGGTCTGAATGTGTCTGAATCTGAGTGTGCTTCCACACCTTCCCACAACTGTCAAGATGATTTTACTTTTCACAAGATCAGTTTCCTTACCCTTGCTTTCTCCTGTTTCTAAATAAAGGGAGATTAAATGTAAGGGAACTTGATTCAGTAGAATTCAAGTCAGAAAGATACAGGTTGGTCTTGCAAGGACTGGAAAGCTATCAGCAGACAAGGTAGCTATTTTGCATTTTTATGTTCGTTTTCTGAATATAACTCAGAACCTGTAGATATTGGCAAATATTTTTGTAAAGGGTCATTAGTAACAAGTTTAAGCTCTGCAGCTTCATACATCTCTGTTGCAACTAGTTAACTGCAGCTGAAGTGTGAAAGTGCTGTAGTTCATAAATAAGTGGTTGTGGCAATGGTCCAAGAAAGTTTTATTTGCAAAAAAGGCTGGGGATGGATTTAGTTCCTTGGACCAGTTTCCTTCTCTGCTGTTTTCCTGCTGGCTCCAGTTACAAAGATTCCATCAAAGCGGCCTCTAGGTGGCGCTCTCAGTCACTAAGTCCGCATCACCTGGTGAGCTTCATGCTTGCACTTAGGCAGCTGGGCTCCAGCTCCAGATTCCTGAGGAAGAGTCTCATTTTATCTTAAGGGTAGCACCGTATGGCTGGCAGCCCTCTCAGCAGGGGCGTGGGCTTTCTTGTCTGAGAAGGAACAAAGGATGTGGGCAGTGGACAGCACTTCGAGAAATAGGGAATGGGGATGTCTGGGTCTGTATGGCAAAGCACCAAAGTCCGGTTTATTCTGATAAGCCTTCTTACCATTGGTGTATTCTGCTTTCTTCTCTCATAATCTGTATTTTATATTAATGGACCCATTCTGTAGAATTAAGTGCATTTGAGTATGGATCCAGTTAAAAATTAATTTATTGCATTTTTAAAGATTAAACTTGACTGAACAAACTGCAACCTATAGCTGCTTTTTGTTTTACTCTTAAGACCTACTGTGGAATTACACCTAAACTGTTTTCTTTCTTTTGTGTGTAGGAGATCTGTCATAACCTAGGAGTTTGCTACATGTATCTGAAACAGTTCAATAAGGTAACTTATGGAAGTGGTGGTGGGGCTTGAACAGTTGACCAGGTACACTTATTATAGAGGTACCACTGTTCATTTTGTGTTGTTTCTAACTCTGCAGTGATATTTGAAAGTAAAGTGCAGCGATACTTGACAGTGTTAGCTGTTGCTGATTACAAAGACGGTTTTGATTTGGAAGGCTATAGAAGCTATGAAAGAAACATGACCATGATAAATATACTGGATTTATTTTTATTTTTAATTAATTAATTTTTTAAAAAGATTTATTTATTCGTACAGAACTGGGGTACAGGCCAGAGATGCGGAGGGTGAGAGGATCCACCAGAGACAGAGTGAGGTACAGAATAGGCAGATGGATGAAGTACACTCCTGAGGGGAGCAGCGGGCAGGTCAGGAGAGGTCTGCCACGCCATGTGGTCACCTCTGGGGTAGGCGGGAATGGAACTCATGCGGAAGTGGTTTAAGTTTCTTTGTGCTGTGCTTTAATTCGCTGCGCCACCAGGGAGGGCCCATACTGGATTTATTTTTGAAAAAACAAAGTGTTATAGACATTTATTCCCATTTTTATTCTTGGTCATTATCCTCATTTTTTCTGATTTTAATAAAAAATTAAAAATTAAAGAAGTGTTATGAGGGAATGGAAATCTTAACTGCTTTTCTTTACCCCATTCCTACTTTAAAGTTTCCAGTGTAGAAACTGATGTTCAAAATTTAGCTATAAAAAAAGTGGACCTTTAAAAAGCATAGTTATGACCATGACCTCTGGCCCTGAGGGCAATTAACTTTAGTTTTAAAGGACATTGGAAATGAATTTGAAGTGGATTTAATTTTGGAGTTTGTTTTAAAGTTTTTTTTTTTTAAAGTTCTTTTCTATGATGAGAATTTGTTTCATTGTGATTCAGATGTAAGCAGTCTCTAAAGCTCTTCTATCAGAAAACATCTGTGCTACTATGGTACCTGAGATAAGGAAAAAAAAATATATCTTAATTTGGGGACACACTAAATTACCTGTTCTCTGCAAGTTAATGATAGTGGGTTTGGGTAGTAGTGCAGCGAGGGTTGAGTTTGGGGCAGTACTGGACTAGGGTGCCCCTTTGACTAAAAGCATGAGTCATGGGTATGAATGTCAAGAACCAGAAAACACTCAAAAAGGTCAATCATCTTGTATAAACTCTCTGAAGTGGCTTCTGAGGCACACATGCTGCTGGCAAGCACAGTTGGGTTTTTGAGCAGTGGGAGCTGTTTGCTACAAGGAGATGTTCCCAATTCTGTCCTTATGTTGGCCCATACAAAGCCATATCCTTCCAATGACTTGGCTCTCTCTATTCTGTCCTTCTCGTTAGGCACAAGACCAGCTGCACAATGCTCTGCATCTTAACAGGCATGACCTGACTTACATAATGCTGGGGAAGATCTACTTGCTCGAGGGAGACTTGAACAAGGCCATTGAAATCTACAAGAAAGCAGTGGAGTAAGTGTTTTTCCTTTGGAGTAGTGAGTAACGAAAATAAATAAATAACCCCCCCAAATGGTAGTCTACATTTGGGCAACAAATTGAGAATATTTGATTACTTGGCAGTGTTTCTTTCTCACTCTTTAGTCTGGCTGGCCAACCTAGCTGGGCGTCTGCTCCACAAGGCCAGTCAGGGACTCAGGTTCCTTCCCTGCTAATGCACCATTCCTTACATTATTGTCTTCACCTGCATGTCTGATGCTACCTTACAGCAGCAGACTTTTCTTGGCTGTCCTCAGGGAGGTGTTCTAGGAAGCTGAATACTGAGTAAGTGGCTCTTAGTAAGTTTTCATAATTGACCTCAAAGCTGTATACATTGATCCTGCTCATCATCCATGGTTTGGTGAGGTGACTATATCTAGCTGCAAGGGAAATGGGCAGGTTTATGCTCAGGAGGGAAGGCAGAGATTTTGGATGCAGCTGGCACTCTGCCATGGTGTTTTTTTTTTTTTTTTTTTATAACAGATCTTACGTTTCCAAAGATGTTAGGGACTGAAATCTCCTGATTCAGTAGTGAACATCTGGCCTTAAAGCATGATACCATGAACTGTTTCACAAACATCATTAGGGGAGACCAGACTTGTGTTAATGGAACTGACTGACTTTCCCAGGGTGGTAGTTTGTGTTTCCTCTCTAGGGACACCTGCCCTCTCATCTTCTGTGTAGGATCTTGTCTTGTTCTTTGTAGTAAACTGCTGTAGTGTCTCATTTGTTTAGTCACTTAATAGACTGTGTGGTCTGTGGTTCAAGGCGACTAAGTCCATTCATTCATCCTGATAATCAGATGCTGACTAAAGTTAGATTTCTGTCAGTTACCTTTTTTTTCTGCCATAGCATACTAACTTCCTGGTTCTCAGTCACAGCACTCTTCCTGAATTTTCAAGCATATTTTATGTCCAAAAAGACATAAAAAATCTTTGTCAGTTAAGCTTCAAAAGACTTGTGAAACATGTCTTTTGCAGCAACTTGGATGGAGCTGGAAAAGATCATGCTTAGTGAGATAAACCAGAAAGAGAAAGGAAAATACCGGCTGGTTTCACTCATAGCAGGAGGATAATGGAACCATATACCAGAGACATTTTGCGGGGGTGGAGAGGGGAATAGGATCAAAAACAGGGGTGGGGGGTGGGAGGGAAGTGCACGGGATTATGGTGATGGCACACGGGTGACTTGGTGATGGGAAACCCGTGGGGATTACAATTGAGATGGAAAAAAAATGTACAAAATAATGTAAAAATAAACTGTTATTAAAAAAAAAAGACTTGTGAAAAAAGAGTCTATGTTTACATGGACAAGTAGGAAGGAGCCCAGGTAGCACATATTAAGCCTCTGCGGTGCTAGCTAGGTGGAAACCTGAGCCCTGCCTTCTAGAATTGGCTTTGAGGTCAGCACACACAAATCTCAAAGGTGCCTTTTTGTTTTTTTTCTTTAAAGGTTTTATTTATGAATAGAAGAACTGAAGTGTAGATCAGAGATGTGAGGGAGACGGGTGAGAGGATTATAAACTATGGCAGGTAGAAGCAGAGTGGGGAACAGAACACGTGGATCCACGGAAATAAATGCACTGCTGAGGGGAGCAGTGGGTGAAATGGGAGAGGTCTGCTCTGTGCCCTTATGTAGGTCAGCTCCCTGGCCAGGATTGAACTCAAGCTGCAGTGGTGATACCGCTGAGACTTACCCC